AAGGCGATAGACATGGATCTATCTGTAGTCTTCTGCATGCCAATATCCAGTTATTCCAGCACCATTCGTTGAAGATGCTTTCTTTTTTCCATTGTATAATTTTAGATTCTTTGTCAAAAATCAAGTGTTCATAGTGTGTGGGTTAAAATCAGGGTCTTCATTTCAATTCCAATGGTCTACCTGTTTATTTTTGTGCCAATACCAAGCTGTTTTCAGGACTATAGCTCTGTAATAGAGCTTGAAGTGAGGGATGGTGATGCCTCCTGAAGTTCTTCTATTGTATAGGGTTGTTTTGGCTATCCTGGGTCTTTTGTTTTTTCCATATAAAGTTGATTATTGTTCTTTCAAGGTCTGTGAAGAATTGTGCCGGAATTTTGATAGGGATTGCATTGAATCTGTAGATTGCTTTCAGAAAGATTTCCATTTTTATTATGTTGATCCTACCAATCCAAGAGCATGGGAGATCTTTCCATTTTCTGGTATCCTCTTTGATTTCTTTCTTTAGAGACTCAAAGTTCTTGATATACTGGTCTTTCACTTCTTTGGTTAACATTATCCCCAGATATTTGATGCTGTTTATGGCTATTGTAAAGGGTGATGTTTCTCTGATTTCTTTCTCAGCCACTATCATCTGTATATAATAAGGCTACTGATTTTTTGAGTTAACCTTGTATCCTGTCACTTTACTGAAGGTGTTTCTCAGCTCTAGGAGTTCCCTTGCAGAGTTTTTCGATATATATTTCTTGATTTATGTTTGCAAATGAAAATATATACTTGCTTAACCTTGATTCTTCTCTTAATATATTTTGTTCATATTTATAGAGCCAGAATTATCAAACGTCTCTATAATGGTTCCTTGCATCAATTTTGCATATTTCATCTATTTGAACACACTATCCTTGTTTGTTTTAACTCTGACTCTAATGATGTAATTATTTAAGTACTTTACAAGTCCTTTGTTATTGTTTGTTATTAGCCTCAATTTTATTTCCTGTATTTTATATCCTCATAGGCCTGGCTATATTTATACTGAGTTCTGGACATTATACATGAAAAACTACAAAAATATTTTTAGGTCTATTTTCTCCTGGAGAATTTAAATTTGCTGTTGGCAGATGGCCAAAAGAACTAGCTATCTAGTATGATCTCAAATCATTTTTAGGAATTAGATGATTCAAAGCTCTGCTTCAGTTCCAGAAAACTCAATCTACCACTTCCAGTTCACTCTGATTTCTGAAATATGTATTCTAGTATCCTAATCTAAGAATGAAGGTTTGGATGATGTCAGAGAAACGGGTGGTGTAGGGATCTCCAAGGCTCAGTCTTTCCAGAGAAATATTGAAAAATTAAGCAAAATTGCTTTTACTTTATTTTCCCTTTTCTTTCTCTCTTGCTTACATTTGTCTTCTGGTATTTAAGGCAGTCTCTGTTAAAACATAAACTGAACAAAAGCTATAGGAACAATACTGTTCACAAGCAGATACAACATATATTTATAAAACACTTCACCCAGCAAAAGAACATTACACATTTACCTTAAGTACACATGGAACATTCTCCAGGATAGACTAGATGCTAGGCCACAAAATAAGCCTCCAAATATCTAAACAGATTAAGATTGAAATCATGTAGATTTCATAATGGAAAAAACCTAGAAATCAGTAGGAAAATTAGAAAATTTATAAATACATGAAAGTTATACAACAAATACTTAACCAATGAGCTAAAAAAGACAAATTATAAAAAAATGGGACATGAACAAAAACGAAAGCACAACATATCAAAACTTATAGAATATAGCAAAAGCATGCTTAAAAAGAAATATATAGCTGTATGATTTTTTTAAATGCTCTAATGTAGGATGGAGAGATGGCTCATCAGTCAAGAGCACATTTTGCTCTTGCAGAGAACCCAGGTGTTTGATCCCCAGCACCTAAATGATGATGGTTCACAACCATTCATACATAACTCCAGTTCCTGTGGCTCCAATGACCTGATGTCATTTTCTGATTTCTGTGGGTATGATACACTCCCACACATAAAAATAAAAATGAAGTAAATAGAAAAGAGTGATTTAATGCACTAGAAAAAGAACAAACCGAACTCAAAGATAGTAGTTGGACAAAATAAGGATTATGGTAGAGATAAATGAGATTTTTTTAAAAAAAGCAACAGATAATCAACCAAGATTGGTTCTTTAAAACTTTAAATGCAGTAACTGTGTCAAGGGGAGGAGAGAAGAAGGGAGGGAAGGACGGAAAGAGGGAGGGAGGGAGGGAGTAACAGAGACAGAGAAAGAACAGGAGTATATAAACAAAATCAGAACAATAGTGAGAAATTACTATCAACATTCAAGACAGTTCAAAGGGTAATAACAATACTACGAACAACTGCATTACAATAAATTAGATAAGTTAGATGAAACAAAACCACATTTGAATGGTCCTAGAAAAATACAGAGATTAGATCAGTAATCAAAAACCTCCTAAAAAAAGAAAATTCAAGACCTTGAACTGTAGAGATGGCATAACAGTTAAAAGTACTTGCTGTTTTTACAGAGAACATAAGTTGCTTTCCAGCATCCACATGTGAGACAGTTTCAAAACTGTCTATATTTTCAACTCTAGGAGATCTCATACCCTCTTCTGACTTCCATATGTACCAGGTATACACACGGAACACACACATACATGAAGGCAAACACTCATGCACATAAAATAAAAATAAATAAATCTTGGAAGGGGAGCAAAGTCAGGTGACTTCACTAATGAAGTGTACTAAACATTTAAAGAATTAACAATCTTTATCAAATTCTTCATAAACATATTGGGAATACTTTCTAACTTACTCCATGAAATCAGCATTAGCCTGATAGCAAAGCAAAAAAATATGAAAAGAAACTAAAAACCATTCTCTCTTATGAATATAGATTTTAAAATCTTCAACAAAATTTCAGCATAAGAAATCCAGCAACATTTTAGGAAGAATCACACCATGACCAAACAGAATTTATTTCAATGATACAAGGTTGAATGAAGATAGAAAATTAAACCATGTGATGAAGATAAAAAATTAATCCATGTGTTTTAAGACATGAATAGAATGAAAGAACACACACACACACACAATCATTACAGTTGACATAAGAAAAGTATTTAACCAAATCAAATGTTTTTTATGTGAAAACTACTTTAAAAACTTAGAATAAAAGAAAACTTCCTCAACATAAGAAAGGGAAAAACCTGCAGCTAACATGAAATTCAAAGCCAAAATACTCAACAGTTTTTTAAGACCTGGAACAAAATAACTGCATCCTCTTTTACTACATGCTAACTCTAAATGCAGTAGCAAAAAACCTAAATGCAATAGCAAAAAATAATAAAATTCTTAGAAGAAGACACACAGGGAAATATTCATGATCATGAACTTGGCAATGGATTATACAAGCACATATAGCGCGCGCACACACACACACACACATATCAACAAAATGTAAAACTTCTTAGATCAAAATGCATTATCAAAAAAGTGATCATTTGGCACACACAGCCCAGTAACATTATACATACTGATAAGGTTAAATTTAAGAATATATATGTACATATATATGTATATGCGTGTATACATATATGCATGTAATAGCAATTAATGAAAAAGAGGCCAAGAAATTGAAGAGTGGGAAGGGATATATGGGAGGGTTTGGAAGGACAAAAGGGAAAGGGAGAAATGTTATAATCACACTATAATATCAAAATTAACAAAATACAAAGTTAAAAGATAAACTAAAGAAAGGGAAAATGGTTTCAAGTCATATATGTGGTGAGGCACTTATATCTAGATAGAACTCTTACAACTAAAAAAGACAACTGATTTAAAGACAGGCAAAAGTTCTGTATAGATATTTCTCCAAAGAAGGTATACAGATGGATAATAGATGAAAAGACTGAACATTAATAATTAGAGAAATGTCAGTCAAAACTAGAATTAGGCCATGTGCGGTGGTGCACATCTTTAATCCCAGCACTCGGGAAGCAGATGCAGGTGGATCTCTATGAGTTCGAGACCAGCCTGGTTTACAGAGCAAGTAAACCCTGTCTCGAAAAATAATAATAAAACCAAATTATATTAAGACATCACTTCACATACATTAGGAAAGCACGAATCAAAATAAAATAATAAGCATCAACAAGTGGAATAAGTAGAACCCTTTTATATTGCTGGTAGAAATGTAAAACAATTCAACCACTTGCAAAAAAACTTCAGCAGATACTTAAAAACTTAGACATAGATTTACCTATATAACCCTAGAATTCCTCTCCTGGGCACATATATAACAAAGTGAATGGGGATATGTCCATAAAAATTATATGTAAATTTTCACAGTAGCATTATTTACAGAAGCCAAAAGTTAAAACACTCAAATATCCATGTGCTTATCAGCACAAACAAATGTGTAGTATACAACGAAATATTACACAGCCATAAAGAGAAACGATGTATTCCTATATGCTTCAAAATGAGCAAGTATTAGAAACACTATGGTTAGTCAAAGAATCTAAATATAAAAAGTCAATATAACACATGCTCATTCATGTAAATGAAATATCTGGAATAGGCAAATCAGCAGTGACTGAAAATGAAATAGTAGCAATTTAAGGTAACAGATGGGATAATAGATGGAGATGATGAAAATGTTCTATAATTAGATAGTGCTAGTAAGTATACAACCTTGTGACTACATTAAAAATGCCGAACCATATATTTTTCAATAACAAACTTTACAGTTTGTGAACTATTCTCAGAAAATGAAAAGGGAGATTCTGCAGGCTTGCAAATCAAGTTACTGTACACCCAAAGGAAACATCTATTTATTAGGTTAAACAAAGACAGTAACTATCACACAACGTAAAAATTTCCCATGGAAATACATGCTACAGCATTTTCATTCATGCATTTGATAGCTGTGAATGAGAACCAGAGAAGCCTCTGCTTGAGGTTACCTGCTGTTGCTTGAAGGCATGAAGAAGTAAATCAATGTCAGTAAACGTGAGAGGAAACTGCAGACGAGGGCCATCATAAGAGTCGGGCACATCTATCAATCCCACATATTCCTGTCTGTCCCTGTTTTCTCGCATGGTGTTTTCAAAAAGTCTACTTACTAATGCTGAAAAGGAAAGACAAAGAGGTATAAGATGGGGAATCAACATTCCATTGCTTCGCTTCAAAACACCCTCATGCAAGACACTGTGCTGTTATGAATGCCAACACAGAGCACAGAAAACTATGAGGAATAACTGATTCCAAAGCCAGTAACCACCATCATCCCTTTCTGGAATCATGCTTTGCCAGAGCAGTGAGTTCATAATCAATGGGGAGAAGACCACGAAGCATTTGAAACACTGGTCAGTCAAGGCATTTTGATGTTCTGAAGTTGAAGCACTAATTGTTTTGTCCACCCTTATCAGACTCTTACAAGCAAGGCTAAAAGCGTGAACAATGCACTGCATTTGGTTCAAGCAGCTGCTGCTTTTCATGATCTACAGGAAATTAAACTGCAACATTCAATTTTTTCCTTGTTAAATACTTCAGAGGATTTTACTTAGTTTTAATTGATTTGTTTTTCTCTTTATGTACAATGTTTCTTCTGTGATTTTCTTTTTTTCTTGGGAACAAAGCAGATAAAACTTAAATGACAAATCATAGGCAGAAATAACCAAAGTCCTCTTCCTCTCTTAGATAGTTCTATACAGTAACAGACAGCCTGCAACGCCCATTTACTAAGGCAATTTAGTATGGCTGAGACCCACAATCATTTCTTGCCAAGTTGCCCATGAAACATCCCCCTGGACAGAAACCTCAACAATTCAGGTAGAGAAAGATGCAAGAGGATGTGGTATACTAGTTGAAAATTGGCCTCAATATTGTATCCTAACTTCTGTCCATGCTTCTTAGAATGTGATTTTCATCAAGAGTTTGCTTTCCCTTGCTTTCAAGATGAGCTAGGCTCGTAACTTTATACTATCCTGAACAGTGTGGTCTAAGAGCTACATATCAATGCCAGTGAGGAAAACTCAGAGTTCAATTGTTTCCCTGTGTAACCACTCTGGCTTTCCTGGAACAAGGCGGGCCTCAAACTCACAGAAATCCACCTATCTCTGCCTCTCAAGTGCTGGGATTAAAGGCGTGCGCCACCAATGCCTGGAAAGCTTTAACATTTCTAGTGCATATATTTTCCTTGTGGCCCATAACTAATAAACAATAAATCAATGAGGGCAAGCAGTATAGGAAGATTTGTGCAACATTTAATTGGAGTTAACCCTTAGTTATTTGATTTATAACTTTGTGAATATGGATCTAAACTAATTAAATATAATAAGATATTAAAACAACTAAATGATACCTCTACAAGTTGTTACAAGAAAATAACTTTGAAACCCTTGTCTTTACTCATGTTGCCATTTTCCCCTTTCCCACTAGCTCATAATAAGTAAATTCCATTACTGCCAGTGATTAAAACTTAAAGATCTTTTCTTTCATTGGAAGAGGGAAAAAGTATATTTTTAGGGAAACATTTAAGTTCATAATTTTTTTCTCACAGATAATATCAGCTTATGTCACCCACATGTTATTTTGAAAATAAGGCCCATATATTTCTGGACAAGGAAAAGTACCATATGACAACATGTATTGTTATTTCATTTTCTAATTATAAATCTGAGTAAAAATCATTAGTATCCACATATTAAATTCAATGGATGTCAAAATGCCAGTTAATAAAAGTCAACCATAAATCTAGGTCAAAATTATTAGTATTCACATATTAAATTCAATGGATACCAAAATGACAGTCAATAAATAAATGGAAGGCTACGTTCTTGACATAATTTTTAAATTAAAAATAAGTGAATTTTGTTTCCATTAGATCATCAACAAAAAGACTACGTACTTTTTTTGGTGTTTTTCGAGACAGGGTTTCTCTGTATTGCTTTTAGAGGCTGTCCTGGAACTCGCTCTGTAGATCAGGCTGGCCTGGAACTCACAGAGATCCGCCTGCCTCTGCCTCCCGAGTGCTGGGATTAAAGGCATGCCCCACCAACGCCCAGCTTGGCTATGTACTTTTAACTGGTTTTTAATACACTTCTGCTATCTCTAACTAATGCAATAAGACAGGAAGCTGAAACAAGAGCAGTAACTAGCATACACAAATATATAATAATGAAATCTGTTGATACGATTAAAAACTAAACTCAAGAAAAATTACAAAAACTGATAAGAGAATTAAATACAAATCAGAGATTAATCTCACAGGCTTGAAACATATTTCTATCACTGATGAGATGAATAACCTTGGAAGGGTACCCTCAAACCCTCAGATTCTACATTTATGAAAGATAAATAATTAATACCAGTGTCTTATTAGATTGTCATGAATACTAAATTTAATGACATAAATTATTGAAACACAGGGTACATGGTAAAGTTTACTGAAAATCAATAATAATATATGAACTACTAACAATATTCAGTAGAAGCACAAGATGAGATATGGATATAAAAATTTAATGGAATTTTACAAATAAGTACTGGGAAGATAGCATGCTGGAAAATATCCTACTCACCATAGCAACAAAAAATTAAAAGTACTCTAGCATCACAAAAGTTAAAAATATACATATATACATGCATACAGGTATTCCTAAAGAACATGTATGCAACCTATGTTGGCTGATGAGGAGGCAGAAGAAATGTCTAAACAACACTTACATATGCTCGGCCTACTCCCACCAGTCTCTGTTTAAGCCTATGGCCACTTTGCCTTTTTGACTGTAGAAGGAATTGTTGTAAAATGTAGACTGAGAACATGTATGTGGACACTACTCTCTATAGAGTTTATGAATCTGTTTTAGCTCTACAAGTAGAAGAACAGGGACATAAGCTGGCATTGCATAATTTGAATTTTGCATAAACTCAAAACATAATTAAATTTTGCATAAGATGTAGTGTGCTTGCCAGCACAAGTACTACATTAGAACCCCTCTTTCCTTTGTAATCAAAATGTCCTGAGATACTCTGTACTTCAATAGCAGAGAGACTACATTAATATTCCCTCCCTGATGATAATAAGATTGATGACTACCTTATATGCCATCCTAGAACCTTCATCCAGTGACTGATGGAAGTAGAGACAGATACCCACAACTAAACACTGAACTGAACTCCTGGAACCCAGTGACAGAGATGGAGGAGTGATGAGCAAAGGGGTCAAGACTGTGCTGGTGAAACCCACAAAGACAGCTGCCCGGATATGGAGGAGCTCTTGAACCCCAGACTGATGCCTGAGAGGCCAACAGGGGACTTTTCCAGACTCCTTGAATGTAGTGTCAGCGAGGAGGCCTCAGAAATCTCTGGGGCCTTGGGTAGTAGATCAGTGTTTTCCATGGCGTACGAATGATCTTTGGGAGCCTATTCCACATGCAGGGATGCTCTCTCAGCCTGGACACATGGGAAGGGCCTAGGTCCTGTCCTGGATGAAATGACAGACTCTGGAGATCCTACCAAGGAGGGCCTCACCCTCCCTGGGGAATGATGTAGGGATTGGGTAGGAGACTGGGGGGGAACTGGTGGAGGGACAAGGGAGGAGGGGTGGGAGAGGGAGCTGGGATTAATATGTGAAGCATGCATGCTTCTAATTCAAATAAAAACATATTGAGGAAAAAAAAATAGAAAAAAATCAATCACTAACCTGGCCTCTACATATTGGAATGCTAAATAATTTTCTGTCTGCTAAAAGATCTTAGTACTGCCGGGCGGTGGTGGTGCACGCCTTTAATCCCAGCACTCGGGAGGCAGAGGCAGGCGGATCTCTGTGCGTTCGAGGCCAGGCTGGACCGATAGCCTCCGAAACAATACAGAGAAACCCTGTCTAGTAAAAACCAAAAAAAAAAAAAAAAAAAAAAAAAAAAAAGATCTTAGTACTTCAGTTAAACAGGCCAAGGTGAAAGTTGTCTAGAATCCTCCCACCAAAGGTACATATGCCTGTTGATGCGGAATGTCCTTCTGTGTGCTATGAATCTGTGTTGCTTTTATTGGTTGATAAATAAAGCTGATTTGGCCAATAGCCAGGCAGAATAGAGTCGGGCAGGAAATCCAAACAGAATTGCAGAGAGAAAGAAGGTGGAGTCAGGGAGATGCCATGTAGCTGCTGGAGAAGCACTAGCATCATGGTAAAATATAAACAAAATGGGTTAATTTAATTGTGAGAGCTTGTCAGTAATGTGACTGAGCCATTGGCCAAACAACTATAATTAATATTAAGCCTCTGAGTGTATATTCGGGAACTAGCGAGAAGGAGAAAAACCTCCATTTACAGCCTGTCATTCCAGTACCCAATATGCTGGGGCAGGATGGTTATCAGCTCAAAGCCAGTTTGATTTACATAGACAAAGTTACCTTATACATACTGAAATCCTGAAATGAAAAGGGGAAGGTGAAGAGGAGAGGAGAGGGAGGCAGGAGGATGGAGGAGGAGGAAGGGAGTAACAAGAATACATATGTTCACCAAAAGGGACATGTACATAAATATGCACAGCAGTACAATTGCACTGCCAAACTGAAAACAATCCAAGCATACATAAACATTAGAATGCATAAACTATAGTATATTGGTAAAATGGAATGCTATTCAGCAATAAGAATGACTAAATTACAATAACATGAATGATTTCACAAATATAATGCTGATTCAAGGTCTATTTTATATGTTTCTACATGTATAAATACATTTTAAAACAAATATAGTTAATTAACCTATGGTATAGATGTTCAAAACTAGCTCCATAGTGCAGTGGAAGTTTGGCTGTAGCTAGAAGAGGCAGAAGGGAGACTTCTGTGGTCCCAATAATGAATGGTTGGAGGCTATAGTTTTGGTTTTCAGACAAGGTCTCATGTAGCAAGAATGACCTTGAATTTCTGATCCTCCTACCTCCTACTCAAAAGCTGAGACTGTGTTTTATTTCTTGTTCTGAGTACTTGTTTTCTGGGAGTGTTTTCTTTGAGAAAATTTCAGCCATATATGATTTTTATACTTTCCTATAATATATTTTATATTTCAAGGAAAACACTGTTACTTTCTTTGAGAAAAACACATTCTGTTATATTCTTAAATCATCTGCAAAGTTTTTCAAAATGCAGATTTTGAAAAATAAAGAATCTGAATAAATATATCTGAGCTGTAACCCAGCCATCTGTGGTTCTAAAGTCCCATGGAAGTGACTCTGATGAAGTGAGTCTAGATTGAAATATTAGATCATTAGCAGAGAGAGTCATGTTTCATTTCATCATAATTATATTTTCTCCCCACAACATTTTTTGATCAGGAACATGAAGCACAAACAACTGTCTTCAAAATGCAGCTACCTAAAATGAAGAAATTGGCAAAATACCCAATTCCATGCAGTTCCCACACATCAAACTTGCCTATTCCACCACTCAGAAAGTCTCTATGGATTCATAAATGCTTTCATTAGTTTCATACATATGTACTTGGCTCAAACAATGCCACTAAAATACCACTCTTCTCAGCACTTTAAAGAGTATTTACAGGCCAGAGAAGATAGCTCAGTGGGTAAAGTGCCTGCTGCCAAGCCTAATGACCTGAGTTTAATTCCTGAGATCCATATGGTAGAGAGAACCAAATCCTGCAAGTTATAAGTTGTTTTCTGACCTACACACACACACACACACACACACACACACACACACACACACACAGTACACAGGCATGTGCACACATGCATACGCATATAATGGGGTGGTAATCCTAAATACTTTGCATGTTGTTAGAATTAAAAATGGTTTGCCCAAGGTGTTTTTTAAAACAGCTTTTAGGTTTGGCATCTACTTTGGAAGAAACAGGCAGATTTTATTTAGTATGAGAAACATATATCTTATGAATAATTATAATTTTAACTCCTATACTGCTACATCAATTCAAAAATGATTATATAGATGATAGACAAACAGAAGATATAAACATATCACAGAAAATACCTTAGTCTAGCTTATGCTATTATATTATATTATATTATATTATATTATATTATACCACAAACTGGGTGATTTATAGCAAACACAAGTTTATGAATGGGCCTAGTTGTTTTTAGATTCTTTTAAATTCTGGTTCAGGCAAAAATAAAACTAAAATGAGTTCTCATGTGCTTGAAGTTTGAAACTATCACCATTTTCAAAGGGAATTATAAAAACAATTGGCATATATTTTAGATTTTAAAGAATTCAGGTATCAACGAGAAGTAAAATCACCCACAGTCTCCATACCAAAATCAAATGACGTGTCTAAGGGTCCTAAAGTCTGGGAACTCTAAGATGAAGGAGAAATATTTGGTGAGGACTTTATGCTACAAGTTATAATACGACTGAAAACATCAAAGCAGAAGATCAGGAAGAGGAGTGAGGTTTCATACTTTATAAGGTCACCACTGTTCAAATAATGAGCCCACTGTGGGGAGGGTCTCTAACTTAAGCAGCTCTTACATGTCCCACTTTCAACATGGTGCATGAACTTTGGGGAAAGATTTAAGACACAACAGACATCCAGAGTGGAGAGAGGAGAAGGGTTAGGGTTAATCTATCATTTTCACCTAGACTCCACTGCATGAAATACTCAAAATACTTTGGTTTATAAGCATAAAACTTCTGTGGGTAAACATAAGATCCTCATTACTGGGCAGCTGTTGTGCATCAACAGATTGTAGTTCAAGACAAAATATTTAACAAAAGAATGCAGAATATTGTTTTTAAATTAAATACTGATTTAGCAAATTCCATCCATTGAGAGGGGGAAAAATAAGTTGAACCAAGTTAAGTTGCTAGGTGTCACATGAACAAGAAAGGTGAACATCTTTTAACTGCATAGCATCTCCTATCCTCATTTATATTTATAATGAAGACAATTCAATATCTAAAACTGCTTTTCAAAAGACTATATTTTAGAAGTGGAATGATGGAATGGTTGCTTGGCAATTAGGAGTACGTGGTATTCTTGCAGAGGACCTGAGTTCAGTTCCCAGCACCCACATTGAGTGGGTTATAATCTACTGTAACTCCAGCTCCACAGAATCTGATGTTCTCTTTTGGCCTCCATGGACTCTGTATTGATCTGCACAAACACGCACACACACACACACACACACACACACACACACACACACACACACACACACACACAGAGAGAGAGAGAGAGAGAGAGAGAGAGAGAGAGAGAGAGAATTTTAAAATAAAAGTGAGTATAACCTTAAAAGACTAAACTTTTATTTGCTTACCTGAATCTTCCTTAGGTGTCTTTGCATAGTTTTCCAACATGAAGGAAAAGAAGTCGGACAGCTGCAAGAGATAAAAAGACAAAAATCATTAATAAAGACTAAGGAGCCACTGCAGCAAATATCGGAGTTCTATGCAAGCCCCTTATTCTCCTGCTGTGCTCATATTCCTGCTACAGCACATGCCAAGAGTCACAGATGGGCAGCAGTACAGTGAGCTGCATAGATATTATATATGCACTCCTCCTGGGAAGCTGCCCATACATAAGTCACTGAAGCAAATGTGTAACAATCCATTCCTCCACCTCCTTGCCATGCATGGAATAAACTATGATGTTTCACATTTAAACACTTCTCATGGGATCAGGTTGAAGTTAGACTTGTCCAGAAGGTATAGTTCTTCCTGGCTTCTTTGTTCTTTATGGTCTCCTTTTTATCTCTTTGATAGCAAAATTAATACTGTTTAAATTGACAGTCTACATGGGTTTGGAGAGATAACTCAGTAGCTAAAAGTACTGGCTGTTTTCACAGAGCAATGGTACAATTCTCAGCTCCCACATAGCAGCTTACAACTATCTGTAACTCCAGTCTTAGGGAACCAAATTCCCTCTTTTGACCTCCATGGGCACTGAACACACATGGTAAACAGACATACATGAAGGCAAAACACCTATACACAAACAAACGAACAAACAACTTAAAAAAAGACAGACAACTGTATGAGCTCCTAATCCAAGCAAAGGTGACATTGAATGACCTGTCTCTTTTGTTGTTGGTGGTGGTGGTGGGAATTTTTGTTTTGTTTTGTTTTTTTGACACAGGGTCTCACTGTGTAGTCCTCTTTTTCCAAGGACTCTTTATATAGACCAGGCTGGCCTCAAACTAAGAGATCCCCCTGCCTCTGCCTCCTGAGTGCTGGAATTTAAGACAATACACCACCATGCCTGACCTAACCTGTATGATTTAAAGGACTATCAAAAAGAAATTTGCCAACTTAACTCTTTTTGAAATTTGCTTACTTATTTTTAAAGACCATAATCTGACAATTATATGTGGTCATTAAAACTTTAAACAATACCAAAGGAAAACGAGGTCTTTCTTAATATCCCTACACATTCATCAATGCCACCCTTGTCCCTGCCAGGAGCCATTGTGCACAGTTTGTTATGTATCTTTTTCCAGAGTTTGGTTGAATGCTTAATTTTCTTTTACATGTATGGGATAAACTCTAGGTAGTATTCTGTAAGTTGGTTCTTTCTTTAATAACTATATTGGAGACCTTTTTAAGATCATTTTATGGTTAAAACGAACTCATTTTTTAGTGAGTATTAAAGCTAGAGTTGTGAATTTGTGCCATCAGTTTTATAAAGGACTTCCATTTTCATATATTTTCTTTTAGAACTTTCATAGGATTGTTCCATGGAAAGCCTTCCTTTTTTAAGGCCTTAAAGTAGCCTGTCTAAAGGGCTTTGGAGATAGCTTAGTTGGCAAAAGTGCCTGCCATGAGAACCTGAGGTTGATCACTTGAGCTTATATAAAAAAGCCAAACAAGGAGGTATCCACTTGTAATCCCAGAACTGGGGAGATAGAGATTAAGAAGTTCCCCAGGAATCACTTCCCTAATAGTCAACCCTATTGGGAAGTTTTGAATCTCAATAAAACATCCTGCCTCAAAAAAGGCAAGCTCTTGAAGAAAAATACCCACTCCACACACATACCCATGGATGTACACAGACTCCTGTACCTACACACACAAGAACATATGCAAACACAACTATTCTTTCTGGGCTGAGGATATGGCTGAGTGGTACAGTACTTGCCTAACATCTATAAGGCTCTGGGGTCAATCCTCCCACTTCCATTTTTACAAAAAATTCTCTATTCATGAAGTAATGATTTGATTTACCATTAAAGACTATGCCCAGAACGTAGAAAAAGACAATTTTATTAGTTAGCTAGATATCTGGCATTGCTGTAAAAATGAGAATTTCAAAACTGAGAAATACCATTTTCCCAAAAACAATCTTTCAATAACTTGTTCCAAAACAATGGCATTACAGCCTCTATGAAAGCATTTCATCAATGTTCCTCAGCTTCAAACAGTCTCACAGTTTCATTCTTTCAGTAACAAGAAGAGGAGAGAGAGACAGAGGGAGACAGAGAGAGAGACAGAGAGAGAGAGAGACAGAGAGACAGAGAGACAGAGAGACAGAGGGAGAGATGCTTGCTAAACAGACCTGCATTTGACCTTGCTCATCAGCATATTCGACAGACTGGAAGATGGCCAGGGCATAATGCTGTCTAGCCCTCAGTCGAGCTCTGTACCGTCGGTACCAGTTTTGGATGACTAATGCGGCTTTCAGTGCTGCAGACCCACAGGATATGAAAGGCAGAGAAAACAATTACATACACTTTGACGTAAGCAGATGTTTCAACAAAAAACAATCAGACAATTTCTTAGTCCTAAAAAATAGGAAAATTATAAACAATGAGATTGACCTTTATGCTTTTTATAAAATGTTAAATCTCAAACTCTCAGAGAGCTCATAGAACAGTGATGTCATAGCCATTAAGAGTAGAAGTTTTAAAGTAAGTTTGCAGGAACTTGACACTTCCTGGCTGTCAGTCACTAGGAAAAGGAGTGTAGATGTAGCCTTACAGTGAATACATACCATGAAGTATCTTGCCACTATTAGACACAACGGACTAAACAAATCCTTAGAAATGTGGGTGTGTTGGTTGATTTTTTGCAATATGATACAAGTCTAGACGTATATGGGAATAGGAAACTTAACTGAAAAAAAATGCTTCCATAAGATTGGCCTGTAGGTTATTATCTTGATTAACAGTTGATGTGGGAGGCTTTAGCCTATTGTGGGTGGTGTCACCTCTGGACAGGTGATCCTAGATGATATAAGAAAGCAAACTGAGCCGGGCGTTGGTGGCACACGCCTTTAATCCCAGTACTCGGGAGGCAGAGGCAGGCGGATCTCTGTGAGTTCGAGGCCAGCCTGGTCTACAAAAGTGAGTTCCAGGACAGCCTCCAAAGCTACAGAGAAACCCTGTCTCGAAAAAAAAAAAGAAAGAAAGAAAGCAAACTGAATAAGCCAGAAAGAGCAAGCCATTAACCAGCACAACTCCTGCTCTATCTGCTCCTGCCTCCAGGTTCAATCTCAGTTTCCCCTGGAGTTCCTGTATTCACCAAGCATAGAGGTGCTTGCTGTTCAACAAGATTCACTAGGTACTTAGAAAGTCCCTGCAGTCCTCCCAGCACCATGAAGCCAACTGATGGAAGTACCTACTTATGCTCACTTTAGCCAGTAAGTGGAAATGGACATAGATCTGACTCCAGGGCCCAAGCTTTTCACCTCCAAAGAGATGCTGACCTATTGCTATGCATCAGTTTCCTAGTTTATACAATGATATAGTGGAAGAAATGATCACTGGAGTTTCATCTACTTAGTATTAACAATGTCAAATAATATAACCAAGCTGATTTCCATTTAATAACATAATGGTCTACTTCGAAACTTTCAGTGCCTACAAACATTATCTCCATGCTACAAGTAAAGAAACTAAGTTCAGAGTAGCAAGTGTGTTTTTAAAGTCACCTAGCATAAATATCTCTGAGTTCAAACCCTGAGCTCTCTCCACTAGAGCTGGTTACTTTATTCCATAATTCATTTGTACCTTTCTTTTCTTTGAATAATAACAACCACTAGATTCTATCTGCCTCGTATGTTCTGGCAGTAACTGGACACTACATATACCCCCCTTTATGCTCTTTCCCAGCACAAGGAGAAATGGGAGCTAACATCTTTCTCTCTCTGCTTGGCCTGTGCCAGGCATGCTTGAAATCCTGTGCTGTGTGGGAGGAGTTATTGCTTTCTCTGGTAAACAACTGCATTCATTGGGTTTTATTCTGAGGCAGGATAGAACGCCAGCGATGTGGAAGAGAAAAGAGCCTCTCATCCTGGAGTCTCGTGAAAGTCTTCAGCCAGATGTGAGTCAAACATTCCACAAGTATAGGATATCTCCCTACAGTCAGAGAGACTCCAGAGGCCCCCAATAACACAGCCTATTGCTATTACTCTTGTTTACCCATCAAAACTAGATGATAAGACCCTATTTCTGGACACACAATGTGCGTTTGCTACATCACTCATGTAATTCAGTTGGTAAATCAACTTGGAAGCTTTCTCGCTGATGGCTAGTCTAGTGCCAGAGGTACTATGTAGAATCTAGGGGTGGAGGATGTCATCAACAGTCTTACCCAGGTGTAAACTCTGAAGGCTACAATACACTACCCCAGGCAAGATATGCTCACTGAAACAAAAGTGGCATTACTCTTATGGGGGAACTAAGCAGTTTCTGATTGGATCTGAGGTCTACTCCAAAGGTCATGCTGTTTGATAGTTCATGGTTGAGTAGCTCATAGGCGCCAGGAGGAAATTTACTACTATTGTTTGACTAAATGGATAAGATGTCAATCTGCCTTCTACATATTTGTGTTTTTAGCCGTAGATTTCTGTCGCCTTTAGTCTGGGTCAGAAAAATTTCTTTGTGCAGTGGGAAATGATTAATGCAAAGAAATAATTAATCAAAGTGCTGATGATCAGTGACTTTTAAAAGATACTTTAATTTTATATATATGAGTGTTTTGCCTACATGTATGTATATGTACCAGATGAATCCCTGCTGCCTACAGAGGTCAGAAGAGGATGTTGGATCCCCGAAACTGGAGTTGTGGGTGTTTGTGGGGCACTATGTTGGTGCTTGGAATCAAACCTGGGTCATCTGTAAGAATAACAGGTGCTTATAACTGCTGAACCATCCCTCTATCTCTTTAAGTGACTTTTGAGTGCTCATCCTCAAATGGGACATCTATATTACCTCCCCTCTAAGGCTAATGAGCCATCAAGAAACAAGGAGTAGAAAGAATATAAGAGTCAGAGGATGGAGAAGAGCATTGTGAAATGCTGTTTTTTGTACATGAACTCACATCAGTGGGGGTTACCTATACATGACTTTACTCATCAGTATTCCACCATAGATGGAATAAGAGTCTTTGTGGTTTCACCCCTCCATGAGGAGCTAAAGGTAGTTAATGATTACTATGAGGGTGTCATATTCCTCAGTGGTATAGTCTCTGGTAAGTTGTCCTCACTCAAGTAAATAACCCCCAACACATGCTCATGCAAACAACCCTAACTAAATGTGTGACACACACATAAAAGACAGAAAAGTAGGAAGGGGGAAAGAAGAAGTTCAGTGTGTGTGCGGGAGGGGGGGTTAACAGAGGAAATAGGGGAATTTGATCAAAATACATTTTATATGAAATAAATTATTAAAGAAATAAAGTAGTTAAAACAACAACAAAAAAGGAAAGAGAAAGGAACAAAGAAGGAAGAAGGAGAGAAAGAAAGAAGGAATTCCAGCGTATCTGAGGTTGTAGGAATGTATCTCACTTGCCTATCATGCACAATTCCCTGGTTCACTGCCAAATACTGCATAAAACCAGGTGTGGTGGCATGCATATGTAATCCCAGCATTTGGGAAGCAGAGGCAGAGCAGAAGAAGTTCAGTGGTCTTCGGCTACAAAGCAAGAGAGAGAGAGAGAGACAGAGACAGAGACAGAGACAGAGAGACAGAGAGACAGAGAGAGACAGAGAGAGACAGAGACAGAGACAGAGACAGAGACAGAGACAGAGACAGAGACAGAGAGAGATTGTAAGTGCCCGTGGAGGATAGAGGCATTAGATCCCTGAAGAGGGAGTTACAACTGTCTTATATGGGTGCTGGGTACATAACTTCATTCTTCTACAAAAGTACTGCATGCTCTTGCCCACTGAGCCATCATCCCAGCTCCAATCATTTTCTTATACAAGAAACTAAAGCATGAAGCCCAATCTCCAAAGGATGATGGGTTTTTTTTTAAAACTACCATTTTCTTCAAGTAACAATGGAGATGATAATTCTATCCTTGTCAGAAACCTCTGGCTTTCCAGTTAGAGAAGAGAGTAAGAATTAGAAGTCATTTATATCACATTTTATTTACTTGTTCATCCACCTACCAACCCTATCTACAAGATGTAAAAAAAAAAACCAACTAAGTTCTGAATTTGTAATTAGAAGACTTCCATTTTGGTCTTTTCTGAGCCAGGTGCCAGCTGTGTAACTTCAGGCAAATCATGTAACTCCTCTGGTCATCATTTCTCCTGTGGACACTGACAACTTTGGGTTTATGTGATCTCTAAGATCCTTTCCAATTAGAAAATATTCAAGCCATCTGCTTTTTTAGTGACACAGCTGCAGCCAACCTATTATTGCACATAGCAGAGTTGAAAATAACTATTGAAGGACAAAAATATGATGACTAAAACTTAATGCTCAACCAGAAACTTGTGAAAAAAGAACCAAGACAAACTCGAAAGGCTATTCAGAACTAAGTAGGACTTGGTACAGATGTAGCTCAGTGGAAGAACACTTCCTACCATGTGGAAGACCCTGGTTTTCGTCCCTAGCACTGCTAAATAAAACTAGATTAAAAAACAAATAAACTATCCCTGTATAAAAAACATACGTAAAATTACAAATAGCTCTGGTTTTCCCATCAAGGAACTGTGGCAAAAGTTGATAGCAATTGTTTCAGGACCATTATTTTCCTAGTATAACTTACTGTCTCAAGTCTTGCTTTATTTTGTTGGTTGTTTGGTTTATAGCAGGTTCTGTATATATAGTCAAGGAATTTGCAATCTTCATCACTGGCTCCAAGTGTTGAGACCACAAGCATGTACCACCACTCCCAATTTACCTCTTTAAATATTCTAAAAAGTCATGGCTGTGGCTAATCTGTGAACTGGCATGATCAATGGTGGGGAAGGATGAATGGAGAAGATTAAGAACAGAGGGAACTGAAATCAACAGACATACAGACAGAGTCTACGGCATAGAGGTTTCAACGACATAGACAAAGAAGTAAGAGAATGAGATGATAATTACAGAGATTTGAGAGTTAAGCCATTGTGGTAGGAAATGAAAGTAAGCAACTGAATCTGAGTAGTGGAGTAGGTTGCTGAGCTCAGGAGATCAAAGAACTGAGGTGTCACAAAGCATTGTATGTGTGTGTGGGGGAGGGTAATCAGGATGATGAAACTTGGAGAAAATCCTTGAAGAGTTAGAAGTTAAGGGAAATTTCCCCCAATGAACCATTTCTTCAGCCCATCACTGAAATTATTGAAAAGTATATGATATTTGTTTGTAAAATGTTCCTCAATTTTAATTTTTCTGCTATATCTTCTCATTTCCATTTGGGTTATATACTTTGTTGGGATAAATAACGTGTTCTTCTAGGGACAACTACAT